TATGCTTGTTAGCTCCTTTCTTTGAATACTGAGGCTATCATGCATATAGGGCTAAGTAGTGCATCCCACACACAAATCTTCTCCCATGGCCTGATCTCACAGAGGTTCCTGCAGAGAACAGACAAATGAACTTCCATTTTTCAAAACAACTCACACAAAGCAACAGCCCTGACTTTGAATCTACTTTGCTTTAATTCTGGTTCTGTCACACACTGGGGCTTCATGAATGTAACCTAGGCCAAGATAGGCCTGTTGGCAGCCTGGCACCAACTACAAAGCTAGAGGAAACCAAATAATTGGCTGAGGCGCCTTCCAGTTCTAGAGCTATAATCTGACAGGGAGCCACTGGAATTTGTAGAGCAGGGAAGAGAAATGGCCAGACTTGTCCTTTAGGAATATCCCTTTGGCAGCTGCATGGAGGATGTGCTAGAGTAGGGAGAGACTTGAGGCAAGAGAGGTAGGGCAAGCTGTTGCTATCTCTGTGTGGTGCTGTGGCATGGTGAATAGAATCCTAGGCTTCGGTTCAGGAAGCCCTGCATATAAATATTGCCTCTAGTCATCTTCCAGCTGTGTGACCATGGGCAAATCACTTAACCCCTCTGAGCATCAGTCGCCTGAACTGTAAAATGGGAGAAGGGATTTGACTAAATCAGTGATGTCAAACTCAAAAAGAAATGGGCCACATATTGGCTTAGTTTTAAAATGTAATGTTATCTATGTTTTATTGTATTTTTATTTATTTTGTTAAATATTTCTCAATTACATTCTAATCTGGTTCTGACAATGCTTGGGATTGTTGTGAGCCCCATAAAACTCACAGGCCCCATCTGGAACACCTTTAGACTAGGGAAACCCTAAGGGAATATCCTTCCAGCTCCAATTCTATGGGTTTATATATAGGCAGCAAAGCTTTCCAAACTCCAACTCCACTTTTCAGATAAATCATTGCCTACCTCTGTAAACCTCAGATTCCTCTCTAAAATAAGGGAACTTAGTTAAGTGATGATCCATGTCCTTTCCAGCTTTATGATTTTAAGATTCAATGATTTTAAGCAGAAACATCACTAATATTTCTAGTGGCTGAGGCAAGTGGCATGAAACATGCCCTCAGGTCAACTTTTTAATGCAAATCCAGTTATGCAGGTGAACCTCCATAATACTGTCCTTAGTGGAGAGAACAGTGTGATGGGGAAGCCAGCAAAAAGCACTCCTAGAGCTGCTGCTGCTGCTATAGAAAGAGGGGGAAAGCAGCCACTTTGGTAGCTTCTCATTTTGACTAGTTATTCTTGCTAACTAGGTCCTTAGCTCAATTGTTTCTCTGCTGCTGAAGGACTGAAAATGCTTTCAGCATCCTTTAAATTTAGGCAGCATGACACAAAGCCCCAGTGACCCTACCCTAGTTACCATTCTAATCTGAGGCCTAGAGAGGTTAAGCAACCCATCCATTGCTACATGGCTTGTAAGGACCTGAGAAACTTTCAGAAAACCAGTCTTCTTTTGGGGGGAATTTGGTTGCAGGTTTAAAGGAACTGATGCAAAGTATTGGTGATTATCAGGAGATGTGCCTATGGTTTAATTTAACTCAACACTGGGAACCTCATCAGGCCAAAACATAGAAAGAATTGAGAGACTGAGATCTGTCTCTCTAGTTTTGTGGCATGTGTGCAAAGGACAGGACTTCTTCAATGCAAGTTTATGACCTTCACTTATTGGAAATATCTTTTCCCTCTCTACCCACCCCAAGCCTGTTCCTTTTCCTTCCTAGACCCAACCTCCCACCCACTGTTCTTTTCATATTTAAATGTGGTTTTTGTTTGTTGTTTTTATTTTGGTCAGGATTTCAACCCAGTTCTTTCGAATTCTAAGCCCAGCATCCTAGCCACAGTGCCCCAGTGCCCCACACATAGATCACACTTGCTCTATCTACCTTAGCAAATTGTCGTGAGTCAATTGCAATAATGTCTATGAAAAACTTTTTAGACGACAACTGTAACATAATATTGTGTGAATTGAATATTTCATTGCCATTATTATCCCGGATGTGATTGTTAGTGAGAATCCAAGGACTTGTTCCTATCCACATGGACCATCCCACAACTACCACCACTAATTCCCCCATAATCTTAATCTCCATTAGGCAAAAAAGATTTCAATGGGGAAAAAATGATCTCATGGTTTTGCTGTTTACTTTTGGAATGAGAACAGGGAAATCAACAGGAGGCAGTGAGTCCCACAGAGGCAGATTGGAGATGTTTTGAAACACAGGTTTTGTTGTTTGTCTACTGTCTTCTGTGGCTAAGGAATTAGGTTTAAAGAAATGCATGATGCCCTCGATGGGGTTTCCTGCCCATCTGCTAGAGAGGGAAATTATCGGAATGTGTGGGCATGTGCGTGTTCTGTGGGATCCTCCTGTTTACTTGGTATCTCAGAGCTCATAGGATTAGATCTGGGCACCTGGAGGAAACTACGGGTCACATGTGCACAATGATACCCATTTGGGTTCCTGTGGAGTAATAGAGAAGGAATAAATTAGACTGTATGAGGTCTGGGTCATACTGAATAGCCAAGGGACCAGGGATGAGTGTGATGTTATTAGTGGGAGGATGGCACATGAAGAAATCATGAAATTCTTCTGATTTATTCCATGTTGACTCTGAGTATGTCCAGTGTGGGCCATGGAGCTTTACAAAGGCTATAGATAAACTGGAGAAAGGCCAGAGATGGGAGTAATGATTAAAGTGATGGAAAATAGAGAGAGATGCAAAGATTCCTTATAGCTCAGAGGGACCCTAGGTTTTTCAGCATTCATTCATTCAGCATTTGGTTTTTTTTTTCATTGTTTGGGGATGGGGGTTGAAGATGAGCATCCAGATCCATGTTTTAATTGGTGAAAGAAATTCCCAGTGAGGAAATTCCCTCAGAGACTTACTAGCTGTGTGACCCTGGCAGATCACTTAGCTTTCGTCCTTCAGTTTTTTCTTCTGCAAAATGAGATGACCTCTGAGGTCCCTTAGAATTCCAGATCTAAGATTCTAGAATCCTGTGATCCATCTAGGGCAAGGGTCAAGTGACCTTAAAGTGATTCATGTATAGATTTCAGGAATTCTGTGAACTCAAAGGGGAAAAATGACATGATTGGCTTCCTTTGTAATCTTATGCCTTCTATCTTATGCATTTATAGACATCATTATGAGGAGGGGTCCATTGGCTTCACCAGACCTCTGAAGGAGTCCAATGTACCACAAAGCTTAAGAATCTCATATTTGGAGGATTTCTCTGTGTCCTGGTCTGCTTTTACCTGCCTGGGACACCAGCTTATTTCTTCACACTCCTGGGGACCAGGGAGGAGGGGGAGACAATATGTGAGTGAAACTGGGAGGGGCAGAGGAAGAGTAGGAGAGAGGGTAGACATGACTTTCAGGTCCCAACTTCAAGTGTCAAAAGGCAATTTCATGCCTGCTGACACAATTTAGAAAAGTAGAAATAATAGATGCTGACAGCTAATGGGACCAGAGCTCTTACTGAAAAGCTATTTACTGATTGGATTTAATTCCTCCTTCCCCCTTAATGGAGGCAAAGCTCTCCAGTGGTCTAACAATGGTTGGGCTCAGCCCCATACCCCTCCCTGAGATAATGAAACTCTGTGTTTAGTCAGTGAACCACATCATGAAATACTTTATTAATCATCTTACTTATAGCTTACCAGAGCATGGTTTTTCCAACTTTTTTTTTTTATCATTTGAACATCCATTATCTAATTTGAGTCTCTCCATAACCCTATGAAGTAGGCAAGACAGGGATTACTGTGACCATTTTATAGATGAGAAAATCAAGATTCAGACAAGGGAAGCGACTAGCTCCAGGGCTCCTATTGAACCCTGTGAGAGAGACATAGCAGGATTACTCCCATTCTACAGATGACAAAACTGAAGGTCCGACAATGGGAATTTGGCTTGCCTACATGGTCACATAGACTGAGGGTCAAAGCTGGGAATATAATTTAATTAATACTCTTTGTATTGTACCATACTGTCAATTAATAATCATACTAATAAGTTATTGATATTAATAACAAGCAAATATTAATAACAAGTTATTTTATCTGCCTGCACCATAGTTTGCAAAAAATTAAAGATAAAATCATAATAATGGATAGCATCTCATCCCAAGACCATTTTATCTAAACTCTAATAAAAATGAGAATGAGATAATTTTTATAATAATAAAATCATATTTATATAGGACTTTAAGGTTTGTAAGGCACTTTTATATACTTTTTTTTTAGGCAATTGGGGTTAAGTGACTTGCCCAGGGTCACACAGCTAGTAAGTGTCAAGTGTTTGGTCCGAGGCCAGATATGAACTCAGGTCTTCCTGATTTCAGAGCTGGTGCTCTATCCGCTATGCCACCTAGCTGCCCCTGCTTTTATATACTTGATCAATATTCCAATCAACAAGCTTGTATTAAATATTTACCTATTATAGGTGCTATACATTAACTCCTCACAAGTCCAGTCAACAACCCAGGCACTGTGTTAATCACTGGAGATAAGAAGATAATCCAGAGAAAATGACAAGGCTGTGGGACAGATCCTAAGAATATCCCAATTTTACAGATAAGGAAACCAGAGCTCAAAGAGTTTAAGTGACTTGCCCAGGATCAGACAGCTAAAAAGTGGCTGAGGCAGGATTTGAACCCAGGTCTCACACCATAAGGCTCTTAAAGATATGTAAGCAAACAAACAAACAAATGAATAGATAAATGAATTAATAAACAAATATAAAATCTCATTTGTGCCTTGTAACTACCATTTGCAGGAAGTACTATGGGCATTATTATTCCTATTTTACAGCCAAGGAAACAAGCTCGGATACATGTTCTGGTCAGTCATTTCCCCCAGCATAATTTCTCTTGGGGTTTTTAGCACCTTCCTATAAGGACTTGTTTCCATCTGTTCAATTTTTCCTTGCACCATTACAGAGTTTGCATTTGCATTTCAGGCTCCCGACAGGATGGTCTGTCCGCCCTGACCAGCCTGAGAAACCAAGAAAGAATGAAGAGCTCACAGACGAGGAGAAGGAGATTATCAACAGAGTGATTGCTCGAGCTGAGAAAATGGAAGAAATGGAGCAGGAGCGCATTGGGTAAGACAGTGACATTTCCAATCAAGTCCTTTGAACCTTGAGTTGTGAAAACAAGCCCCAAGCAGGCTCAGGTCCAGGGCAGCTGCTCCATGAGTGGGGGAAACTGAGGCTCTGGGAATAAAATTCTACAGAAGGTTTGGCTTTAGGAAGTTGTTCAACAAGTCAGTAAGCATTTATTAAGTCCCTACTATGTGCAGGCGCTGTGCTAAGCACTGGACATACAAAGAAAAGCACATGCAAACAGCTATGTGCCAATAAGATAGACACAGGATAAATTATAGGTAATCTCAGAGGGAAGGCTGTTAATTTTAAGGCTTCTTGCAGAAGGTGGGATTTTAGCTGGAATTAGGGAAGGAAGCCAGGGAAACCAGAAGGGAGGGGTGCAGAGGGAGAGCATTCCAGGCATGGAAGACAGACAGAAAAAGCCCAGAGTTGGGATATGGACTCTATTGTGCAAGAGCAGCAGGGAAGCATCACTGAATCACAGAGTAGGTAGAGGGGAGTAAGATGTAAGAAGACTGGAAAGTTGGGGAGCGGCCAAGTTATAAAAAGCTTTAAAAGCCAAACAGAGAATTGTATATTTGATATTATAGGTAATAAGGAGCCAATGGAGTTTATTGAATGGGAGGTCACCCCCTACTGGTTAGATCTGTGCCTTTGGAAGATCAATTTGATGGCTAAGCGGAAAGTGGATTGGAATGGAGGGAGATGGGACAGGAAGAACAACCAGAATACTTGCAATACATTCAGGTGTGAGGTGATCAGGACCTGCACTGGGGTGGTAGCAGTTTTGCAGGAGAGAGAAGGGGAGGGTGTGTATATTCAAGAAAAGTTATCAAGGTAGAATGGACAGGCTTTGGCAATAGATTGGATATGGGGGATGGGGTTAAAGAGAGGGAAGAGTGGAGGATGACACCTCAGATGTCAGCCTGGGTGACTGGAAAAATAGTGGTACCCAATGGTTAAAAAGAAAGTTATGAATAAGGGAGGGCTTATGACATGTGGCATACATTGAGTTTAAGATATCTATTGGACATCCAGTTTGAGATGACTTACAAGCAATTGGAAATGCAAGACTTGAGGTCAGGAGAAAGGTAAGGGTGGATAAATAGATTTAAGAACCATCTGACTTTTGACTAGCTATAACTGGGATTTAGGGAGACAAATTACCTGGAGAGAATTCTGAGAATAGATGATCCACTTGGCCTTCTGATTGGGCTGGGCTCCTTCCATAGGACCCTGACAATAAGGGCTAAAGGGAGGAGAAAGGGTATTTGTGACTGGAGAGCTCCTAATAAAATGATTTAAAGTGGGAAAATAAAGTGTAACAAAAAGACCACAGTATGGGAATCAGAAGATCACTATCACCTGACTGTGTGATCCTGGGTTCTAGAGTCCCTACTCTGGCACCTACACTAGCTGTGTGATCTTAGGCAAACACTTCTCTCTCAACTTCAACATATTCATCTGTAAAATGGGAAAGGTTGGCCTATATGGTAACTGTCTGTGACATTCTATTTTCTAAGGTCCATCTTAATTCTAACATCTGTGTTCTAAGGTCCCTCCCGGCTCTGATATTCCCTAGTCTGAGGTTCCTCCCAGCTTGACATTCCCCGTTCTAAGACTCCTCTCAGCACGGGCATTCTCTGTTCTAAGGACCCTCCCAGCTCTGACATTCCATGTTTTAAGACCTCTTCTAGTTCATGCATTCCCTGTTCTAAGGCCTCTCCCAGGTCTGATGTTCTATGTTCAAATGACTCTCTGACATTCTGCCTTGTTCTTGTCTTCTTAGTATGATAATATAATATGGCCATGTCCCTGACAGCTATGTAGACACTGTTTTCATAGGGGTCTGGCCTTGGCTGTATACCTTAGTATGGAGGAGACCCTAGATTCTCAAGGGCTATGTTAATGGAGTCCAGCCTTTGGCAGGTCTAACTACAATGAAAAAGCTTTGTGTGCAGGCTTGGTGATGGGCAATGTGTCTGGTGCCCAAGGACCCAACCCAGCCAAACTTAGGGAGGCCCTATAACAAGGTTGGCCACCAGTGGAGGGATTTTTCCACCCAACCACCTCTCAAAGGCCATCAACTCTGGACTCTAATTTCTATTTGAGGAGTGAATACCTATAGCCAGGACATCCTAGATCCTTGAAATAGCTATAATAACGAAATAGTTGCCACTTACTTAGTGCTTTAGGGTTTGCAAAAATTCTCTGCATACCTTATTTCACTGGAAGCGTACAACTCTTAGAGGAGTGCTTTAGATAATATTGTACATATGAGGGAACAGACCTAGAGAATGGTTAACTGTCTTCGGGTATAGCATGTAAATTCTTTGAGAGCAAAGACTATTGTATCCCCAGTGCCTGCCACATTTGGTGAAGGCAGGAGCAGATCTATTACATCATTGGCATAGGGAACTTTCAGCATGGAAACTCCCTCTACCAATGCAGATCCTCATCTGTTTGGCTACTTGTCATCATAGAGCCTACATAGGACACTGGCAAGTTAAGTGATGTCCAGGGATAGAAAACTAGTATGTCCGAAGCGAGACTTCAGGTATTCCTGACTCCAAAGATGGCTTCCTAGCCATGACACCATCTTGCCTCTTGCCTATCACAAAGTAGGCATGTAAGAAATGCTTGTTGATTAATTTATCATCAGGGGTTGTGACAATCATATTAATAACTAACAGAGCACTTTAAAATGGACTCTTTAGATATTTTCTCCTTTTATCCTCACAACAACTTGGGGAGCTAGGTGCTCTTATCATTTGTATTTTACACATGAGCACACCAAAACCGAGAGAGGGTGACTGATTTATCAGTGATCATGTGGCCAGTAAGCATTTGGCCAGAACTTTGACTTTAGATCCATTGTGCTGTCTGTGAAAGCTCCTCATTAAGCTCATAGATCTAGGGTTGAAAAGGACTTTGGAAGTCTCTTAGTATGGTACTGAGGATGATGATGATGATGATGATAGCTAACGTTTTTATACCACCTACTGTGTTCCAGGCAGGGCGGCTGTGTGGTAGAGTGGACAGAGCGCTTGGAATCACAAAGACTCATCTTTATGAGTTCAAATCTGTCTTCATATACTTACTAGCAGTGTGACCCTGGGCAAGGTACTTTACCCTGTTGGCCTCAGTTTCCTCAGTTTGCAAACCTTTGAGTGCTACATAAATGCTAGTTATGATGATCTTATATCTAGTCTAACTCTTTACTTTCCAGAAGAGGAAACTGAGGTCAGGGTGAGAGTGAACCAATGACACACAGGTGTTCATTTGAGAGTGGAGAAGGTCAGAGAAAAAGAAACCAAGAGAAATCTTTCACTTGACTAATTTCAACCAGTCCACTGCAGCTTTTCTGCCAGGAGCTAATACAGGGAGACAGCTCAGTTCTCAGAGACGTGGGAGAATCTTGCTCAAGCTATGGGATTTGGAGGAGAGAGGAGGAACTAATGAATGCAGATGATGGGGAGTGACTGGGAGGAGTAGGGGTGCATGGGGAGGATGAGCAAGGGTGGGCATCTCTCTCCCTCTCACCGTATTGACTAAATCTCCCCTTCTGGGAGGCTTGCCTTTGTTCCACCTGCTGGTGAGTTTTGTTCCATGGATATAAATTGGTGCCAGCTAAGCTGGCCAGCTGCTGGGTCTGGCAAAGCCATACACTCATCTCTGGCTTATCTCTCCATACCCAGGCATCTGTCTCCAAGCACTGCCACTGTTCAGGGGTGGTGGGGTTCCTTGGAGAGAAAATTAAGTTATTCACCAGGAGGGAGGGGAAAATGTTTGATTTTTCCTCCTCTGAGTCACGTATGCCCAGCAGTCAGCCAACCCCAGGAGATTTTGAACCCAGTAGAAAAGAACAAATCTACTACAAACATTCTTTCCTCAACCTGGATTCTTCTCTCATCCACTAACAGGGTTAAATTGGTTTCCAAAGTTTGATTGGGAGGAAGCTAGGTGGTGCAATGGATAAAGGGCAGGGCCTGGAGTCAGAAAGACCTGAGTTAAAAAACTCAGTCTCAGACAATGGCTAACTATCACTCCAAGCAAGATGCTGAACTTCTTTCTGCCTCAGTTTTCTTATCCATAAAATTGGAATAATAATAGGACCTATCTAATAGGGTTGCCATCAGGATAATAATTGTAATGCACATAGAAGGTGCTTAATAAATGCTTATTTCTTTCTTGTACCATGCTAGCCTATTCTACCAAGCTAGAAAAGTTTCAGGTACAGGCTGGTAGATGGGCCATGTTTCCATCATCTGAAGACCAGCTTTGCTAGTTCTGGAGATACTCATTAAAAAGACAGCCTCAGGAAGATTAATTTTTCAGCCACAAAAGTTCTCAATAACTGTCTGGGTGGGGAACCTGTGGTCTTGAGGCCATATCTGGCCCTCTAGGTCCTCAAGTGAAATTCAGTCAAAGGCTGTACTTGAGGACCTAGAGGGCCACATGTGGCCTTGAGGCTGAAGGTTCCCCACCCCTGCTATTTTCTGGTAAAGGTCCTAGTTATGATGTATGTGTGATGTGTGTGTGATGTATGTATGATGTATGAATGATGTATGTACATATGTAATTCATTTGTGAGATGGGCAACCAAGTCAACCAGCATATATGTCTTAGATAGACATGGCAGCGAGGGCAATGAGCTGGGCTCAGAGTGGACCAGGAGGACGAGCGGGTGCTAGATTCCCTTTGGGAGACTGTAGCCCTTTTTATGACCCCAAACTCCTCGCTGAAACAAAGGCCCCTAATTTTGATGCCAGGGATTTTCCAGTGAAGAACTATGACAGCACATCATAAGATGTCTGAAGAATTAAAGTGGTGGGCTGTCCAAAGGGCAATGGAAAAGTGGGCATGAGCAGGTGGTCATCCATTACAATCAAATAACCAGTCAACTGCATTTATTAAATACCTACTTGCCAGGTACTCAATAGGGAACTATGGATACAAACATACAGAGAAAAGAAACAATCCCTCCCCTCAAGGAG